TAACCTTAAAGTACCTCAGAATGTGCCTGTATTTAAAGACAGAGTCTCTAAAGAGGTAATTAAGTTAAAAGGAGGTCATTAGGGTGAGCCCTAATCCAATATGACTCTGTCCTTATAAGAAGAGATTAAGATACGGGCAGGTGCAGAGGGAAGTCCAGGTGAAGACACAGGGAGAAAACAACCATCTACAAGCCAAAAAGAGAGTCCTTAGAAGAAACCAACCCTTCAGACACCTTTACCTCAGTCTTCCTAGCCTCCAGAATTGTGAGAAAATAAATTTCTGTTGTTCAGGCCACCCAGTCTGTGGTACTTTGTTATGGCTGCCCCAGCAAACTAATACAAACAGTAAAGTCAACATCTGTTCTGATTGGTAAATGCACTTCCTGTACAGAGGTTTAAATATTTTGCACATCAGTCACATTTATGTATTATATTATTCAAGAAATTCACTATTCATTATTTATTAAATGTGTCAAATACCCTAAATCTATTTTATTCCTAAACGGTTCAATTCAATTTATATATATACACACACATATATATACACATATACATATATAGGCACATATATGTATATATATAAACCAACTATATATACATATGTGTATATATACACGCAAATTTTTTTCATGGATACTCAGCCAATTTTTATAATTATTACCATACTACCACTCTTAATTATTTGCCTCTCCTAGGATAGCAGAGTGCTCTTGGTCTTGTACTCTTGAGTAATGAGAGCTAAAATAACATATCTGCTTTATTCAGCTTGAATGGGGCTTATTAATATGTTTAGTATACACCCAACTGCCTGCTGAACAGCCCACTCCATACATCCCATTGAAACTAAACATCTTTTCCTGCATGCTTGCTCTTCCTGACTTTCTGTTGTTAACTGATTAGCCATTCTCTACCCAGTTACCTGAGCCAGAAACCTCGGCACCTTTCAAACTTCTTTTATAGTTTTAAAATAATTATAAACTTACAGAAAAATTGCAAGAATAGTATAAAGAACTTCTGCTTTCGCCCAAATTTCCTGTTAACATTTGCTTTATCATTTTCTTTATGTAAGCTATTTACGTTTATATTTATTTACAGTATTTATGTATCCTTTTTTCCTGAACCATTTGAATAGGTTGCAGATATGAAGCCTCATTACCTTTAATATTTCAATATGTGTTTTCTAAAAACAAAAATATCTCCTGTGTCACTAGAGTATGGTCATCAAAATCAGAAAATTCATATTGTTAAAATATTACCATCTAATCCAGAGACCCCATTCAAATTTTGTTAGTTGTCCCAATAATATCTTTATAGCAAAACGATTCAATTCAGAATCATGTATTCCACTTAGTTGTCATGTACCTTAATTCTCCTTCAATCTAAAAATGTTCTTTAGTTGTTCCTTTGTCTTTCATGACCTTGATCCTTGAAGAGTACAGGTCTATTCTTTTGTAGAATGTACCTTAATTTGGGACATTTGAGTTGTCTGATTTTTCCTTATGATTGATTCGGATTACACATTTTTGGCAGGAATGTCACAGAAGTGTGTTCTAAGTGCCTCTAACCAGGAAATACCCGATGCTGATTTGTCTCATGACTGCTGATGGTAACTTTGCTCACCAGTGCCAGATTTCTACACTGTCAAGTTTCTAATTTTTTCTGTGTAATTAATAAGTATTTGCTGGGGAGATGCTTTGAGACTACATAAAAATTACATGACTCTTAATACTCTCACCTTCTAGTTTTAGCATACACTGATGATTCTTGTCTGAATCCACTGTTACTATCATGACTGCCAAATAACGATGTTTCTACTTATAACACTGTCTACATTCATTACATATAGTTGGCATTTTTATGTAAGGAAGAGCTTTTCTTTATCCTGATTTTTCAAAAAAATCGTTTATTCATTTTAGTATGGGCTCAAATATTCCTATTTTATTCAGCGGACTATAATCCATTAACATTATATTGGTGCTCAGATTGACCCAGATGTGGCCAATGGGGGCTCCTTCACGCTGGCTTTGTGCCCTTTTGATATGTTTCTTCCTTCTGTGTTCACTTCCTTAATTTCTGGTGCAACAAGATTTTTCAGGCTCCTATTCTAAAATCAACCATTTCTCCAAGGGACCCAGTTACTTTTAGTGAATAATAGTGTTCAGAAACCAAGATTTAGGCACAAGTGCTCATTGCTTCTAGCATATCATTACTCTGAAACACTTTCAGCAGATAGAGCTAGGAAGAGCATAATAGATAGATATGCACACACCTATACAGACTTTCCTTTATATTTATTTCTACATGTGTTTATGTATATATTGAAAACTATAGGTTTACACTGACATATTCAATTCCAATCCAACATCACCACAAAGGTCATTGTGGAATTCCTCCTCTCTCAATTTGTAACTTCCTTCTCTGTCAGTGAGAAACCTGGCTCCCATTAGACCCAACATATTTATTTCCTCACTCCCCTTTCATGCTTGCCACCTCTTTACTTGCCAAGGGGAAGGCGAAACAGCTGGTCATCGTTTTTTATTATTTCTTATCATTCATTCTTCCATCCAATCAATCACTAAGTCCTGACATTTTTACCTCCTAAAAATTTCTTGAACTGATCCATTTCTCTCCATTCTGATTTTTCTTAGCCTTGACCATACCACCTTTGTCTCTTACATGGCTTACAGCAACGCCATCTTAATGGTATTCCCAGATCTAGATTTGCTTCCTTCCTGTCTGTTCTCCACCCTGCAGTCAGCGTTATCTTTATGATATTAAAATTTGAGAATTTCACTCCATAAAATTCTACAGTGGTATTGCATTGACCAGTACTGTCTGGGTCTCTTCACAGCCTGTTTAACTATCTTGTTTTGTTTCCTCCAAAAGACGCTAGACTCATTCTCTACCTTTTAGTTAGCCAACTTGAACTTTTTTTTTTTTTTTTTAAGTTCTGTATTATACCAAACTTCCTTTTAGTGAACACTATACGCCACCTTCTTCTACCTGGAAACCCTTCCTAACCTGGACAACTCTACACATTATTTTGGTTTTTGCTTAAATGTCACTTCTGCTACAAAATATTCCCTGACCTCCCCACCCCACTGCACCTCTGCATGCTACTGTAAAGGCAGAAGCAAGAGATGATAACAGGGTTACACATCCGCAAGTCTGGGAATTGTATTCTGAAACTAAAACCCTACTAAGAATGAGCAGCCAGAGTCATAACTTCCCTTTGGAAAAGCGGGTACTTAAATGCAGTTGTGAGGACAAATGAAAAGTACATAAAACACCTACAATGCATAGCTCCTAAAAGGAGCTCAATATATGTTATCCATTATTCATTCAACAAATGTTCATGAAACGCCAACTATTTCATAGATACTGTGGTAGATACTGGGGATAGAAAAAATACAATGTAAACTATGAAAATATAGAATGAGTATGCAAAGTCTAATATACGGAATGAATATCCAAAGTCTAATAAGGAGTAGGAGTATTTGAAGGAGTCAGTCAACCTGCTTAAGATTCGAAGGATGGACAACATTTGACTGTGATATGCAGTAGTGTAAAAGGAGGAATTTTCAGGAAGAGAGAACAATATGTGTAAGGACAGGGCGAGCAAGGCTATGGATTGTTTTTCATAGTACACATAATTCAATGTTGCATAAAACCGCATGATACACATGATTCAATATTGCATAAAATTGGAACAATAAGCTAATGAGAGATGAAATTAGTCAGGGAGATGGAGCATCTTGTATCCTAGGCAAAGTAATCATTTTCTCTTACAGGTTGCCTTTCAAGAATTTTCAGCAAGAGAGAGCCATTATCCGATTTACATTTTTAGTCAGGACATTCTGATAGCAGTGTGGGGAATTTTAAGAGTCAAAACTGGAGTCACAGGACTGGTAAAGCGCCCACCTGAGGAATTTAAAAAGAGAGAATGAATATGCTTTGGTATAAGATGCATTTAAGATACTCTACAGTTCTTACTAAAACACTGGGAGCAAGTGTTTGACACTTGATTGTGCAAGATTACAGCAAGATAGTGGTGGCTTACAGCAAGATAGAAATCTAGGAGAGTAGGTTTAGAATGCAAAGTTGAACAGCTCAGTTTGGTACACAGCGGATTAGTAATCTTTCTCGTTGCTTCTTCAAAGGATTTAGGGAAGCACATGGCATAGAGATATAGTTTGTAAGGTGTAGCAATGCCAGTGAGAATGGAAAAGCTGGCCTCCATAAACTCTCTCTCTGTACAAACGAAGCAACAGGTTACAGCGCGTGGCTGTAGGTACAGGAAATGGCGTGTATTCATGAGTCCACGAGTAGCGCAACTAGTATTTTTCCAGCCCTGGTGACTCAGAGCTGAAGATGGCGCCTGCGGCAGAAATCAGAAAAGTGGGAGGGAGCATTAGGTGCAGAAAAGTATGGCGTTTTAACTTTTGTTTTCCACACACAGGGAGATAGCTCTAAAGGAATCGTGCATAATTTTTTCTTAAGATTTTGTCTGTAGTACAACTTCATTTTCCACGCTTTAAAATCATGTTTTCTTTTGTGGGCGCGACCGCGTGGGGAGTGACAAATCTGTTTCTTTGCCTCATTCATTCATTTTCTTATTTTGGGCGACTTCCACAACAGCCTCCCCAGTTTTCCTTTGCCCCGTCAGTTTTTCCCTGCGCTTGCTACAATTCTAAGGCGGAAAGAGTATTTTTGGAGGTGAGGGCGGGGAAGACTCAAGCTCTGTGGGAGCACCCGCGCACTTCCGACTCCCTTCCCGCTCGCACGGCCTCGGAGGCTGGAGGCCCGTAAGGTCCCCGAAGCGCGCGCCCACCAACAGCCTGAGGGCTCCGGTGCAGGCGCCGCGCGGCACCTTCTCCCGGGCGGAGGCGAAGGCGGTGGCGGCGCGGGGGCGGGGGCGGTGGCGGGGGCGGGGCCGCAGTCCGGGCCTAGCTCGCGAGACGCGTCGGTCGCCATGGGAACGGCGGTGTAGGCAGGCGCTGACGTCAGCAGGCCGCGAGTTGTCCGCACTGCGACACGGAGCCGTGGCTTGCTCTCCGAACCCGGGTCGCTGGCGGGTAAGGTGGCTTCGTGGCCGCCTCACTTAGCGCCCGCGCCGCTGGGCGCGGGGGAGTCGATTTGCACTGTTCCGGGTGTCGGCTTGGGCGGGACGGACGGTTCTGCCTACTCCTCCTCTCCGTAAGTACCTCGTGGGTTCGCTGGTGGCGGGAGCGCGGGCCGGGGTGCTCGGCCTGCCCGGCCCTCTCCGGGGCGGCGTGTCGGGGCTGCTGGAGTCCGAGAGCGCGGGGGCTGATCGCGGATTGACCGGGGAGCGTGGGCCGGGTGTCCCGGAGGAATGCGATTTCCCGGAGTCCTCAACGTACTTTTCCGCTTCTTTCACTGGTCTCGGTGTCTCCGGAGAGTTGAGCATGGTGTTCTGATAGGGAATTCAATCTTTGCCTTTCCTACTCCCGATTCTTGTTTAAATGCTTTTAAATCAGATGCGTACTGAGTGTGTTTATTTCCTTTTAGAGTGTCATCCTGGGGCTGAATCTTCAACCTGTCAAAGCCTACTTAATTACGTCTGAGAAAAGGTGATCAATTTGTTAAACTTATAAGAGCCAGATTATATTAATAGGGTTGTTTCGAGATGCATAAAAATAGAATAAAAATGTAGACCATTTAAGCATCCTTATCAAAGGTTGTGCTGCGTTTGGCATTCCTGTGAAAACATCTAATGTGAAAATAAAGTTTTTCCCTTTTGAGAAAGAGATGCCAACAGTTTTTTCACCTGTTGCATTAGCAGTTGCTGTTATTGCTTGGATTAGGAGGAAGATTGCTTCTTATGAGTACTCTGGGAAATTTTTTAAAGAATGCTTGAAAAAATTAAAATACCAAAAGTGTTTTTAAACCATACTTAGAATCTTGTTTATGAAGAATAATATTTATGAAGTTAGAATCTTGTGTACTTGTGAAGAATCTTGTTGATCTATTCATTGAATTTTGTGTACAGGATTTTTGTTTGTCTTTTTTTCCCTTGCGATAACATTTGGTTAAAGAGGGAATTATCAAGCCTCTCAATTTTTTCTCCCATTGATATTGAGTCACAGATTGACTGATAATCAGGTGGTCTGTAAAATAAAATGAGATGAGGTGTAATCCATTTAATTTTCCTACATAGTATCTCTTAGAAGCTCCTGTGAAAGGGTTTGTGAGGGAGAAGTTGTAAAATAATGGAATATATAAGATTCGGAGGTGTCTTTTAAAGTCCGACCTGAATTTTCGCAGATAATGTTACTAATTAAATATTAGTCATTAATTCTATCATATGTTTGCTGTAGTACACATTGAGATTTAGAGATGGCTGAGCGCAGTGGATCAGGCCTGTAATCCTAGCACTTTGGGAGGATCAAGAGTGGGTGGATCACTTGAGGTCAGGAGTTCAGTATCTGCCTGGCTAATGTTGGTGAAAACCCATCTCTACTAAAAATACAACAATTAGCCGGGCGTGGTGGCGCACACCTGTAGTCCCAGCTGCTAGGGAGGTTGAGGCAGGGGAATTGCTTGAACCCAGGAGGCGGAGGCAGCAGTGAGCTGAGATTGTGCCACTGCACTCCAACCTGGGCAACAGGGCAAGACTTTGTCTCCAAAAAAAAAAAAAAATTAGAGATGATTTCTATAATGTATTTGCTGTGTTATTAAATAATATTAGTATTTATTCAGTTGTGTATTAAGCTATTAACAGTAAATCTATGATTTATGTATTTTATTAATAATTACTTATTTTTAATACAATAATAATGGACATAAAGTAATTTTATTGCAGTGTACTCATTACTTTGCTTTTTGGTATTTTCTCCTTGCAGTACTAAAACAGGTGCCATTTTAAATTCCCAGACAAGGAAAAAGCAAGGATTAGAAATTAAGTAGCTTACCCAATGCCACACATCAGTAAGTGGTGACACTGGAGGTCAAACCTGAGTCTTTTTTACTCTAGGACCGTTGCTACTGCTTTGCTTTGCTTTGCTTCTCGTGTTTTCTCTTCTCCTCTCTCCTCTTTTCTTTCATGGTGGCAGATACATAACTATAGAGAGCATTGGCGTGGCCTCCAAAGCTAGCAGTTTGGTGGGAGACAGAACATTTAACCAGGATAAAAATTCAGGGCTGAGGTAGAGGGAGTTACAAAGATTCAGGCACCCTGGGAGCACAGAAGAGAAGTGCTTCACTGCCCTTCAAGGTGCGAATGCTCTCTGGAGAAGATACTTGCCTTCAAAGGATAATGAGGAGTTTGTTAGAGTGACAAAGGAGGAAGGACATTTTTCAGGAGAGGGGATATATGTGTAATGATAAAAAAGCAAGAGAGGACTTGGCACATGTGAAGGCCTGGAGGTAGTTTCACATGGCTGGAACACAGTGTATGGTGTGAAGGGGACATTTCATAAATGGCCTTGGACCTCAATAGTAAGGACTTGATATTTTTTTCAGTGTGTGATTGGGAGCTAGTGAAGAATTTTAAGCAGAGAAATGACACCGTCACATATGAATTTTAGAAAATTACACTGATGGCTGTGTAGATGATGATTTATTTTTTAAAAGGGTAAGGTGATAGTGGCATGGAAACAACCTTAAAACAAACAGCATAATCCTTCCACAGTGTTTTTGTCCCAGAGTTACTGTCTCATGTCAGTGCCTTTAGGGGTGGTGGAAAGACAGTTGGAAGAATTCTGTAAAGAATTGTCTACGTGTCGCTTCTACAGGGGTCACCTTCCATTCACCCCTCAGCCCCAGCCTGCTAGGTTTCTGCCCCTCCATAAACAGCTTTGACACACGTGACTTCCTTCTTGCAGATTCAGTGGACTTTCTTCAAAACCTCCAGCCCCTTTTGATGCCACACAGTATATAGGCTACATCTCCTTTAAAACTCTTTCCTTCTGTAATGCTTCTGTCTCGCAGTTTTTTACCTGTCTCCCTGATTTTACTTTATATTGTGGGCTCTCAGGATTCTCATTGGCTTTTTATTTTCTTGCAACTATCATATTTATAAATAACTCCCAAATCTTCAGCCTAGGGTCTCCCTGCTGGATTAATAGATTGCCTAATAAACATAATATGATTATATACATAAACACAGACACACATGTGACAGTAATAACAATTATTCTTTTTGAAGGGTTTGCCATGTGCTAGGCATTGTGGCAAGTATTTTACTTGCATGTTCTCATTTAATCTTTATAAAAACACTGAGTGATTTATTATTGTGAAAGATTAGGAAATTGATGTCCCTAGAGATGAATCTGCTGGCAGGTAGAACTGGTATTTGGATCCAAGGATCTGACAATGGAAGCTGATGCTTGTAGCTGCTCAGTGCCCTTCAGATACCCAACTCAACATGACCCACACTAAGCTTAGTGACTGCACCCTAGCAAGTACCTGTTATAATTATAGCTAACATTTATTGTTGCTGCTTCTGTGTGAGGTACTGTTGTGAATCATTTAACCCTTACAACAACCCTTTGAGTCGGCACTGGTAGAGTGTTTTTACAGATGAGGAAGCAAAAGTCACACAAGTGACTATGGAAACTAATTCTAGGACATGGATTTTAAACTACTCTCCTGTACTGCATTATATTACAGTTTAATGGTACTACTAACCTACATATTCTAGTTCTAGAAACATGGGAATCACCGATTCTTTCTCCTGCCTCTTCATTAGTTATTTAATCTTTCCAAAATATTATCTCACTCCATCACCCAGGCTGGAGCACACTGGTGCAGTCTCGGCTCACTGCAACCTCCACATCCCAGGTTCAAGCGGTTCTCCTGCCTCAGCCTCCCCAGTAGCTCCACACCTAACTAGTTTTTGTATTTTTAGTAGAGATGGGGTTTTACCATGTTGGCCAGACAGGACTCAAACTCCTGATCTCAAGTGATCTGCCCCCTCATCCTCCCAAAGTATTGGGATTACAGGCATGAATCACCATGCCCGGCAGGCTTTTTTTTTGATGAATCATAGTCATAATATTGTTCAGCTTTTTCCCTGCCTATTAGATGACCGTCAAGTGGTATAAATATTAAATTTTTGTTTGTTTGATGATTTTTCTACTTACGTGCTCTCAGGGATGCTGTCATTGTGCTTGCCTTTGCAGCTTCTCTTTCTAATTTGATATAGACTAGAAAGTAGAAGACGAGTTATTAGGTTCATAACTGCTAGAAGGAGTAAATACAGGCTCCTATCACTAAAGTATAGGAGTTTTTACTCCATGGATTTAGTGATGTCTGTTTTGTTTGGGTACCACATGGTCGTTCCCTAAATTAACTGGCGTAGTTAGGTATGTTTACGTAATCATTCCTTTCTTTTTAGAATGTCTTAGACATTTCTGCAAGAGGAACATGAATGTGGATCTCCAGGGAATTGGAGCATTAACCAATAATGCCTTGGGCCCAGTGTGGTGGCTCACACCTGTAATCCCAACACTTTGGCAGGCCGAGGTGGGCAGATCACATGAGGTCAGAAGTTCAAGACCAGCCTGGCCAACATGGCGAAACCCTGTCTCTACTAAAAATACAAAAATTAGTTGGGTGTGGTGGCACACACCTGTAATCCCAGCTACTTGGGAGGCTGAGGCAGGAGAATCGCTTGAACCTGGGAGGTTGCAGTGAGCCGAGATCATGTCACTGCACTCGACAAAGGGAGACTCCATCTCAAAAACAAACAGACCAATAATCCCTGAACCAGCTTTTCTTCTTTTTTTTTTTTAAACACTCTTCAGTTTTAGTCTCAATAACATGCATATTATGTTCTAAGTGTTCTAATGTGAGAATTAATATGTTCATTTTAGACATACACCCCCATTTTTTAATAAAACGGGCAATTTAGTAATATACATACTGAGTTTAAACACGGTTTTGAGTAGTTCTGACACACAGTAATACACATCCAGGTTTTATTAAAGAAAGATGGTACACTTATTTGTACTATCCTTCTCTATTGTTGCAGAATTTTCAATGGCAGACACAGAGGTATTTAAATTCACTGTCTGTGAGTATGCTGCCCACAAGCGTGCTTTAATGTATTAGTGAATGCTCTTAGGAAAGTCAGTCCTGAGATGGAGTTTGGTTTCTTAAAAGTGTGTTGAAATGTTCATTAATATATTGAAACATTTTAAAACGTTTATTAACATACCACGTTAGACGTTCACTGCCTTCAAAATGTTTTTTTTGTTGGTTTCAAATACATAAATGCTTTATTCATATATGATCCAGTTTGTTTCCCTTGATTTTAGGGCCCTAAACTGATTAAAATGTACCCCAGTCATAAGCATAAGGTTGGGATAAGGGAACATTGATTTATTGTTATACACTTAATGAAGTAGTGGACATACAATGGCATGATCTTGTGTGAATGTTTTATAATGTTTATTTGGAAGTTCCATATTACAAATACATCGTCTTTGTTTCGATAGGATCCTGATTGAGTCAATGCTTTACATTGTCAGTCCTCTGCATAAAGCTGAGAGATGCCTACTGGTAAGACTTTCATGAAATTTATGTATAAAATTTATATTTTATACATTTACTTTTAAGTTTGGTTTATTTTAAGGGATTCTTTAACAGATCAATGAATACAGTAGATGTCATTGACCAAATATACTACATTTAGAGATACTTATTGGTTTTGTATTCAGTTTTCCGTTTAATGTTGTGATTAAGGTTAGTATGTATTTAATGGATGGTAGTTTGGGACTCAGCTGGACAAGGTAAATACTGATTACAACATAGGGTTAGTTTTTATTTTTTATCGTCAAAATTGAATGTTTTACTCCACCACAAGCATTGGCAATCTTTTCTAAAAGGACCAGCTAGTAACTATTTTAGGCTTAGTCTCTGCTATAACTACTCAACTCTGTGTCTGTCTCTGTTTTAAAGCACGAAGGCAGTTATAACAATTCTTAATCAAATGGGCATGTCTGATTTCCATAAACCTTTACAAAAACAAGTGACTAGCCTGCAGGCCATAGTTTGCCAACACTTGCTCTAGAGCACCCATTCATTCAGCGTTTATTAATTTAAAACATAATGACTGAGTATGTACACTATGTCAGACCTCATAATTGTTGCTAGGGATGTAGTTATGGGGGAAACAGACGATATGTTTCTAATAATTACACAATTTCCATTTGGGTTAAGTGCTGAGAAGGAAGAGAACAACCTGCTATGTGAGAAAGATGAAAATTTAGATGAGTTTGTCAGGAGATGTTTTATTTACAGACAGCATTTAAACTAAAGACAGGTTAACACCAGCCAGGTGAGGAGTTAGAGGAAGTTTGCCTCAGAAACAGCTTCACGTGGGAAGGAGCTTGTTGTGACGGAGGAGCTAAAGGAAGGGTATTGTAGCTAGAACATAGGCATCTAAGAGGGTATTTGTCTTGACTTGAAGCCCTGGAGATAGATCAGGAGGTATGGAACCCTATAGGGCATATAAAAGACTTATTTTATCCTAAATGAAATGGGAAATTTTCAGGGGCTTAAGCATTATCTTATTGATGTTTTAAAGGAAAAACCTGTTAATGTTTGTGGACTACTGATTACAGGCTAGGCAGACCTTAGCCATTTTCATGCAAAATGATCTTTGACATAAGATAATTGTGATTTTACAGATAAGGAAAATTAAGTTTAGAGATGTTAAGTAACTTGTCTAAAGCCACATAACATGTAACTAACAGTGGTAGATGCTACTGTTTATCAGAAATAAAAAGTTAACTTGGCAAAGGAGACTTTTAGAGTGAGTGGCCAAAAAGGTCAGAGGGATACAGGTGAACGTTGTGATCACTAAAGTCAAAACAAAAAGTATTTTAAGAAGGAAACACTGGTGAGTTTTTCTAATGTAGCTAGAGAACTCATGCCGGTATTTACAAGACTTTATTTCTTAACATAATAGTAGTGTAGATTATGTGTTATAATAGAGTCGTTTACAAAATGACATGACTCTATCTTTTGTAGCTGAGAGTGAAGCAAAAGTAAAAACCAAAGTTCGCTTTGAAGAACTGCTTAAGACTCACAGTGACCTAACGCGTGAGAAGAAAAAACTGAAGAAAAAACTTGTCAAGTGTGGAGAAAACATCTCAGTAAGTAAATGATCATTGGGTAATGGTGATTTACATATCTGCATAAAATGCAGATATGACTGCATTTCATGTTAAAATTCTAAGGAGTTTGGAAAATTAAAAACACTAACACTATGTCATGGTCAATAACACATGGTAAAATAAAGTTTACATTAGAATCAACATCACTGTGGAAGTATTGAGTTCATTCTTGAGTGCTGTCCTACAGGAAGAACACACACACAGTGGGGAGAATGATCGGAGATAGTGGGGAAACTGAAAACTAGCCATGATACCATTTTGAAGAAAATATTTTTAACCCATAATTGTGAAGAACTTAGGAAGTAGTATCTTAACTTCAGATATTGAGTAGCTTGTGCTTAGAGGAAGTAGTATCTTAACTTCAGATATTGAGTAGCTTGTGCTTATAGGAAGTAGTATCTTAACTTCAGATATTGAGTAGCTTGTGCTTATAGGAAGTAGTATCTTAACTTCAGATATTGAGTAGCTTGTGCTTATTTAAACTTTTTCTGTGTGATTCTACTCGACAGAACTGGGAGAAGTCAATGGCCTTAAGGCAATAATTATCCTTTTATGTTTGAGGCACACTTTCAAATGATAGAATTTTTGGCAGCACACTTTAAGGGATTAAAAATACAGTGCTTAAAGTAAAGACTAAGCAAATCAGCAACTAACTACAACCTGATCCCCTTGGAATCACGAAGAGTCTGTATTGGCATCCACAGTTAGTGTACTCTATACCCTTTATACCTATCTCACTACTTCAGTTGCGCTTTTTACTACTTTGACTGTTATCTCTTCTGTCCTCACAGAAAAAAAATAAATAGGTTCTAGTGTAAATAATAATGTAGGTTTTTTTTGGCAGGAGTTTTATGATGAGTTATACATCCTACATTTTGCTTGTAGTAAGATTTACCCCATTTTTTTCTTAAGACCTGTTTATTTTAGTATTCTGTCTGGCAGCTGTCAATGTAACAGTATAAATTCTGAAGTGAGGCAAAAATAAGTACTAACACAGGCCAAAATCCAGCTGCACACATGTGAGGGTTCATAGTATATACACTGGTATACTACTGCACAAAAATTTCCAACTGACAGAGTGGGACAGATTAGCACTTCCATAGTGAATGCTGCTCTGAAATAGCATGTGCTTTTTCCAGTGGTACTGGTGCACAATATGGTAGGGAATAGTGACATGGAGGATGAAACATTGTTTATTGGTATATGCCCTCGCCTCAGATGTAGTGGTTTATGTTGGGCAAAAGCAAAAAGAACCCTGGAAACAGTTGTCTGCAGAGATGTTTTATGCTCAGAGAAGAACCTCATATTGTGTCTCAGTATTAAAGAACTGGGAGTTGTGAGCCATGAACAAGACTGAATCTAAACTGATTTAGACCAAGGTTTAAATTAAGTGGATAATCGGAATAGGCAGAGGTTATTTCCATTTACCTAAAGTCCAGTTTAAATGTTGAGGGGCACATAAGTGTGAAATGACTACACATAATTTACCCAGCCTCTCTTTGCAAACAGCAGACCTGACTAGGCTTCTATTCTTTCAGACATAAGTACACTAGGAACAGATATTTGGAAAGAGATTTCCCAGCTCTAAAGACGGGGAATATTTCTAGAGGACTTGGAGGAAAACAGAATATTTTTGACATGATTAACTTTAGGAAGTAAAAGAACAATACCTGCTTTCATTTGCTAGATGCCTGAATGCTTTCTATCTTTAGGCACTCTTCTAAACACTTTATATATATCCAGTCATTTAGTACAGACGACAAAATTATGGGGTTTTATTTCTTCAGAGGAGAAAACTACATCATAGAAGTTAAATAACTTGCTGAAAGTTACATCGTAAATGGTAGAACCAGGATTCAAACACTGAGAGCGGGAGTGCGGAATCCACTGCCTTAACCACAACCCAATATTGCCTATTTTAATGAAATTTGAAGAGATAGGACCTCTTCTTGAAAGAAGAACGGGGAATCCTACGTACAAAACAGGCTGAGATGAGAAAGGGAGCAGTCTGAAATAAAATTAAGCGAGGAAAAAAGTCAAAATAAGGATTCATAATAATGGCAGGTTGATCTTATGTTCCAATTATATATAAGGCACAATAATAAGAGTTTTACAAATATTATTTCTAAATCTTACTGTTAATCTTGCAAGATAGGCATTGGGACTCTTTTTTGGCACATGGGAAATTTTATAAACAGACATGTTAAGTGATTTCCTTAGGTCATATAGTCAAAAATAGGATAACCAGGATTTAAGACCGCAGTCTCTGCAATTTTAAAAGTACATGTTCTTTCTTCAGTTGCTTTCTTAAGACTGTATCTCAGGCCTAAAATGATAGAATTGACACTATGTTTGAAAAATCTAATCAGTGAAGTGGGAGACAAATTCAAGATGAGAAGAAATGACCAAAACTAAAATGAAAGAAATAAAGAATGAGGACATAGGAAAATATTTGACCCACAGATAAGTATTCCCGGACAGCACTAGTGGAGCAGCAGCAGCAATAACAAGCATGACGAAGAAACCTTGCTGAGATTTCTGAGGAGATGAGTCCATCCCGCATTCTAGGCAAGACTTATGAGATGAGAACTATATCTAGAAACATTCTTTTGTTTTTATCTTAAGAGTAAAATAAATATTACAAACACTTAAACAGAAAAACATATAATACATTTCAGACTTCTCTGTAAAAACACTAAATCCAAAAGACAATGGAGAAATATTTAGAGCATTAAGGGAAAAATTGTAGCCCGAGGAATCTAGTCACCTAAGTAGTTAGTCATTTGTGATGGTAGTTGTAAACATATGTGCATTATTAGCGAAATATTATCAGTGTTCCATCCCTGAAAAAAAAAACAAAGATTTAAGATTTATTAAAGATGTAGTACCATTTCTAGATAAGAATCAAAGTTAAGAATTTAAGAATAGAACATCTTAAGATCTTAGAGGGAGGGATGAAGAGAAGTTGGTTAAGGAGTATAAAAATACAGTTGGAAGGAATAAATTCTAGTAGTTAGTATTACAGTAGGGAAATTACAGTTAATAATTTATTGTATATTTCAAAATAGCCAGAAGAAAAGATTTATGTTCCCAACATAAAAGATAAATGCTTGGAGTAATGGGTATGTCAGATGCTCTGATGTGATCATTATACACTATATACAGTGTCAGAATATCACATGTACCCCCAAAATATGTACAACTATTATATATTAGTTAAAAAAATTTTAATGGAAAATTTATGAACCAAAAATACATTGGATGAACTTTGAAATCAGTTAAATATGTAGAACTTTCTTAATTATTATATATGTCCAGAATAATTCCTGAAGATTTTACATTAGATATGTATCTATGATAATGTGAGAGAACAGAACCAAATTATTTTCAAAGGTTAAGCAAAGCGTCTTAGGAAGAAAAAGTCATGTAACCATTATTCTTAACCATAGCGTATAGTCAAAAGTTATTATTTCATCCTAGAGTTTGAAATAAATAAAACAAGTGATAGATATAAAATAGATTATTACACTTTCTAAGTCATCTGAGTTAAAAAAATTAGATGAGATTTTTTAAAAGAATATAATGAAATAAGAAATTTAAGAGCAAACTCAGTCATGACAATAAATGTAAATAGTTTAAGCTTCCTACTTTTAAAAGCGGATTCAAAAATAGACTTTTAAAGTAATCAGGACCAGGCATGGTAGCTCATGTCTGTAATCCCAACACTTTGGAAATCCAAGGTGGGAGAAATTGCTTCAGTGTAGGAGTTCAAGACTAGCCTGGGCAATGTAGTAAGATCCCATCTCTCAAAAAATAACTTATCTGGGCATGGTGGCATGCACTTGTAGTCCTAGCTACTCGGGAGGCTGAGGTGGGAGGATTGCTTGAGCCTGGGAGGTCGAGGCTGCAGTGAGCCATGATCATGCCACTGCATTCCTACCGGAGTGATAGAGCGAGACCTTGTCTCAAAAATAATAGTAATAATAAATAAAATAAAATAACAGATATTTTGCTTGCAAGATTCACACATTAAACAAAATGACATAAAGTTTAAAAGTAAAAGTGTGCAAAAATATAGACAGTTGTCTATGTTTTTCTTTCTGAAGAAAAACTTATAGCTGTCTCATTTATGAATGTGTGTTAAGAGAACAAAATCGCTATGTAAATATATGAACACATTGAAATTAATCATGTTAAAAGAATAATCTGTCTCAGCGATATAGTTCCCCCGAAGAACTCAAGAATAGCTTAATAATTGGATATCAGTCAATGTTAATATTAGTGCAAATAAATTGAATAAAAAAATATAAAAATAACAAGGAAAACAGCTGTTGTATTTTTATTGGAAATAGGATGGTAATGGATTTTTTAGAACATTTTGTGTTCGTGTATGTGAAAGCCATACATGTGAGCACCAAACCTAGAGCATGCTGTGGGGTTCTCGGAAAATGCAAATCCATACATATACATGGTATATTATGTATGATTTCAGTAGTTTTCTGTGGGGTCCCTTTGAAAAGGGGGACACCTAGCCTATAGGTTCTTCCTTTAAAATCAGGACCTGCAAGGGAAGATGTCTTTTCATCATAAGTGTTTAATAATCTTGAAGTAAATATATTAAGGCATGAAACATAAAGATATAATAGCTTTTTTTCAATAGGTATTTGTCCATATTTGTTGCATAGCAGGCACCATAAGTGTTTTACATTTATTAACTCATCTAATTCTCACACACATCCTATAAAATCAGTATACACTGAAGAACTGAGGCACAGAAGTTAAGAAACGTACCCAGGATCATATAACTAATAATAGTGAATCCAGGTCCTACTGATTCTATAGCTTGTACAGTACAGTTCATAACAACTATACTGGCTCCCTGTTATGCCAGTGTATAGTGTACAGTGTGGGCAAATATGATGCTTAGTGAGGAGAACAAATGATCATTATTGATGGTTTGAATGCTAATATTAGAAAACCTATGTGAATCAACCTGTGTGAACAAAATAAGTACACAAAATTAACGATTATAGCTAGAAACAATAAGAAAATATTGGAGAAAAATACAAAAATTAACAGATAGATACTACATACATAGAAACTACAAAAGTCCTGAAAGGTCTTAAAAGTAAAATTTCCAAAAGTACAGATTCAAATAGAAAACATTTATTAGTAGGTATTACAGATAGGTTGCACTTTATATATACCAGGTGTTTCCAGCTTAATTTTTAGTTTTAATCCAGTTGTAATAGTTTCCAGTGGATGATTTCTTTAGTTGCAAAATTAGGCTAAAGTTAATGCAGAAAAATACAACAGGAAGATTAACTGAAATATTTAAAACAAAAGGCCAGGCACAGTGGCTCACACCTGTAGTCCTAGCATTTTAGGAGGCCAAGACAGGCAGATCACTTGAGGCTAGCAGTTCAAGACCAGCCTGGCTAACATGTTGAAACCCAGTCTCTAGTAAAAATACAAAAAATTAGCCAGGCATGATGTTGTGTACCTGTAATCCCAGCTACTTGGGTAGCTGAGGCACGAGAATCATGTGAACCCAGGAGGTGGAGGTTTCAGTGAGCTGAGATCATGCCACTGCACTCCAGCCTGGGTGACAAGAGTGAAACTTTGAGGGAAGGAATTTTATCTCACAAACTAAAAATTACATTTCAGGTAACTCAGAAACTTAAATGTAAAAATCTAATAGGCAGATATTTCCATAAGGCAATAAAAATGACTGGCTGGTTTAACCTTCCAGTGTGTAAAGATACTCTGTTCTTAAAAGGGATAAAAGACCTCCCAAAATATTCTGGTCTTAAAAGGGATAAAAGACCTCCCAAATGAAGACAGCATTTTCTGCCTGCACACAGAAGACTCAATGAGTATTTGTTGAATGAATGAATAAATCTGGTGTATAAGATACTTTTTTGTCAAAAACCAAACCTGGCTATAAGCCAGTTCACTGAGAAAAGTATGTAGTATTTTTATAGTCATAGCATTAATGCTCTTACATATAGCTACTGATAATAATTGCTAATATTTATTGAACAACTACATAACGTGGAATCAGAAGGACCTTCTGAGTATTTTATAATTATCCTATAATCCTTGTAACAACCTTATGAGTAAGTTTCATCCCTACTGTTAACTTGTAAGGAAATTGCATAAATTGATTCTATAAATGTTAAGACAATAGCTAAGTGAGCAAAAGGAATGAAAAAATAAAACCAGATACAAGAGAAAATAGCATTGACTAATAAAATGTAGTAATATTTTAAAAGAGGTTCAGATTGGAATACCAAGATATTTTTGCTTATCAAAAAGGTATTTAAAAGTTTATTAGTAGTATGGTAGCAAGCAAGGCTTTTTGGTAGAATGCTGGTGGAAAGGTTAACATGTGATATGGTTTGGCTGTGTCCACTCCCATATCTCATCTTGAATTGTAACTCTCAAAATTCTCATGTGTCATGGGAGGAACCCAGTGGGAGGTAATTGAATCCTGGGGACAGGTCTTTCCTGCGCTGTTCTCGTCATAGTGAATAAGTCTCATGAGATCTGATGGTTTTAAAAATTGGAGTTTCCCTGCACAAGCTCTCTCTGCCTGCCGCCATCCATGTAAGATGTGACTTGCTCCACCTTGCCTTCCACCATGATTGTGAGGCCTCGGCCATGTGGAACTTTAAGTCCATTAAACCTCTTTCATTTGTAAATTGCCCAGTGTCAGTTATATCTTTATCAGCAGCGTGAAAATGGACTAATACACTGTCTTTGAAGTGGTTCAGGTTTTTCCAGCAGTATTCAATAGCCTGGTTATAGTTATGGAAATAAAGTTGACTAAATTTGAACAGTGCATGCAGTTTTACCAGAAAAGTGTGATGGATAGGAAGTACATGAAAATGGCGGGTGGTGATTGAAATGATGGATTGTGGGATCAAAGCATCAGGAATTAGATAAGAGGGGCTTGATAAATAAAGAGAATATAGTGGGCTCAGAGTGTAATAAACTGCTTATTATTTTACACTGCTAAGTCTGGAGTGGTTTGATACTCAGCAATAGTAACTGGAACAAATAAATATGAATTGGTAAGAGTAAGCACTCAAATGGTAGCTATAAAGATTTTTGGAGTTGCATATGCATTTTTTTAAAAGGGGAAAGTTAGGCCATATTTTGCTCACTTTTATTGTGATACTGTATTATCTTGATTTTATCTTCGCTCACTTTATTTTTATAATAGTTCTTTTGTAGAGGTGATATCTTCTTCATCTTATGAATTACATTTTCTAAAACTTTTTGTATTGTGCACTGAATTGATTTTAAAAGGGTAGAAAATCTTCACAGTTTCCTAGGTATTAATAATATCCTTCATGTGTTCATTCACCTATATAAGTGCTGGCCTGGATTTAGCTTATAAATCTGTAATTACCTTGGCTCTGTCAAAAACAAATTTAGAACCCCAATGTTTTCAGAGGGTAACTAAATTTAAAAAACCTTAAATGGGCTGGGTTTGGTGGCTCACGCCTGTAATCCCAGCACTTTGGGAGGCTGAGGTAGGTGGATCACGAGGTCAGGAGTTCAAGACCAGCCTGACCAACATAGTGCAACCCTGTCTCTACTAAAAATACAAAAAAAAAAAAAATTTAGCCAAGTGTGGTGGCAGGCACCTGTAGTCCCAGTTACTTGGGAGGCTGAGACAGGAGAATCACTTGAAGCTGGGAGGTGGAGGTTACAGTGAGCCAAGATCGCACCACTGACTCCAGCCGGGGTGACAGAGTGAGACTCCGTCTCAAAAAAAAAAAAAAAAAAAAGTTGTAAATGGCTTATACTGGTTAAGGTAATTTCAGTGTATCCCAGAGCAAAGCCCAGCAATATTTAAAGGATTGCCAGCAAAATCCAGCCACCAACAATATAAAATTTATAATGCCAGATAGTCAATCAAATCTACCAGGCATTTAAAAAAAGAAAGATAACCTGATCCATTACCAAAAGATGAGTCAATCAATAGAAACAGACTCTAGGAGAGGAACAGGAAAACATAAAGAAGGTGTAAAAGAAAGAGATAGAACATATTTCCAAAGACCAAATCATACTTCTACAGATTAAAAAAATACAGTATTCAAAATTTTTAATTGACTGCAGTTAGCATATTGGACAATGCATTAAAATTATCAGTAAACGTGAAGAAATAGCAATATAAATTATTCTAATCAAACACAAAAAAATCAGTGGTGGGCTGACATGGCCTGTCCAGGTTTATGAGAGCTGGTTGTTAAGTATTAGGGAATTTTGTAAACTGGTTGTTAAACCATTAGTAACTTAAAATTGGCTATTTATGTGAATACTTACATCATGGAAGTTGGTAAACACTGGACTAGGCTTTTTGTTTGTACTGCCCTGTCCTCGCTGGAGAGTTTATTTAACAGCATACCACTAAAAAAGTCCTTTGGAATAGGAGTTGGAGAGAAGGAAGAAGAGAACACCAATGACCTATAGAACAATATTAGGCATTTTAACTTATGTGTACTTGAAACCTGAGGAATGGGGACCAAATACATTGGAAGAAATAATGAGTAAAAACTTTGTAGACTGTGTGGAAACGAAACACCCACAGATCAGGAAAGCTCAACAGGTCATAAACGGAAGAAATATGAACAAAATCATACTACAGTTGCTGAAAATGAAGGATAAATTGAAAATCTTAAAAGCAGCCAGAGAAAATAAAGACTTTTTATGTGGGAGAATAATGACAGCAGACTTCTCATCAGAAACGATTCTAGCTAAAAGACAATGGAACAATATTTTAAAATACTGAATAAAAAAAAATTGTCAACCTAAAATTTCTGTCCTTAAAGTTTCTATTTCACCTTCATTTTTGCAAGGAAACATATCTTGCAAAAATGAAGGTGAAATAAAAACTTTTTGAGGTGTACAAAAGCTGAAAGAATTTGTCAGTAAACCTGTAGTACAAGAAAGTGTTAAAAAAAAGACAATACCAAGTGGACATTTTGATTTACAATAAAGAAGAGCACAACAAATAGTAAACATGGTATAGAAGGATTTTCTCTTACTAAAAAATCTCTTTAAAAGATATTTTTTAAAGCAAGAATAATTAGTTGTTTTTTTGTAGGATTTATAATAAATGGTGAGTATCCCTAACCTGAAATTCGAAATGGTCAAGAATCCAAAACATTTTGAGCATGGTTGTGCTCAAAGGAAATGCTCATTGGAGTATTTTGGATTTTGAATTTTAGATTAGGAATGTTGAACCAGTAAATATAATGCATATATACAAAATCCAAAGAAATCTGAAACGCTTTTTGTCTCAAGCATTTTGTATAAGGGATATTCAACCTGTATTTGTAGAAGTAAATGATTTAACAACGGTCTTAGTTTTCTGTTACTTATAACAGAATACCAGAAATGTAATTTATTAAGAAAAGGAATTTATTTCTTACAGGTTTTAAGGCTGAGAAAGAAGTCCAAGGTCAAGGGTTCACATTTGATGAGAACCTTTTTGCTGGTGAGGACTCTGCAGTCCCAAGGTAGTGCAGAGCATCATATGCCAAGGGGGCTGAATGTGTTAGCCCAAGTCTGCTTCTTATAAAGTCACCAGCCCCACCGTTACGATGATCCTCTAATCCAGCAATCCCCAACCATTTTGGCACCAGGGGCCAGTTTTGTGGAAGACAGTTTTTCCATGGAGCGGGCCAGGGGTGATGGTTTCAGGATGAAAGTGTTCCACCCCTCAGATCATCAGGTATTAGTTAGATTCTCATAAGGAATGTGCAACCTAGGTCCCTTGCATGCGTCGTTTATAATAGGGTTGATGCTCCTGTGAGAATCTAATGCTGCCACTGATCTGACAGGAGGTGGAGCTCAGCCAGTAATGCTCTTGCCCACCACTTACTTCCTGCTATGTGGCCTGATTCGTAAAAGGCCATGGACAAGTACCGCACTGAGGCCTGGGGTATGGGGACCCCTGCCCTAATCTGTTAGCCCATTAATCCATAAATTGGTCAATCCATTGATGGATTAATCTGCTCATGAGGGCAAAGTCCTCATGACTCAATCACCACTAAAAGGCCTCAACTTTCAATACTGCCAAATTATGGACTAAATTTTAATGTTTTTGAGAGGACAAATGTTCAGACGTAAGACCAACATAGCACAAAATATGGGAGGAAATAAATAGAAGTATATTTTTGTGAGTTTCTTCTTTTTTCTTTTCTTTTTTTTTTTTTTAAGATAGGGTCTCGCTCTGTCTTAAAGCGAGACTCCTTAAGGCTGGAGTGCAGTGGTGAGATCACAGCTCACTGCAGCCTTGACTTTCTGGGCTTAAGCAATCCTCCCACCTCCACGCCCTCAGTAGCTGGGACTACAGGTGCACACCACCACATCTGGCTAATTTTTGTTTTTTCTGTAGAGACAGGGTCTCACTATGTTGCCCAGTCTGGTCTTGAACTTCTGGGTCCATGTGATCATCCTGCCTTGCATTCCCAAAGTGCTGCAATTACAGGTGTGAGCCACCATGCCTGGCTGAGTTTCTTGAAATATATGTGAAGTGACATTATTTAATGGTAGAAAATTGTATTAGTCTTTTCTCGCTGCTATAAAGAGCTAACTGAGACTGGGTAATTTATGAAGAAAAGAGGTTTAGTCACCTTACAGTTCAGCATGCTATATTGGGGGACCATGGCTGGGGAGGCCTCCGAATGCTACAATCATGGTGGAAGGGGAGGCAGGCACAGTTTTCACATGGCCAGACCTGGAGAGAGAGCGAGCAAAGGGAGAAGTGCTACACACTTTCAAACAAAGGGATCTCAGGAGAACTCAAGAGAACAGCAGGAGGGAAGTCCACACCCATGATTCAGTCACCTCCCACCTGGTCCCTCTTTCAACATGTGGTAGTAATTCACCATGAGATTTGAGTGGATACACAGAACCAAACCATATCATTCCACCCTGGCCTCTCCCACATCTCATGTCCTTCTCACATTTCAAAACACAATCATGCTTTCTCAACAGTTCCCCAAGTCTTACCTTATTTCAACATTAACGCAAAATTCCACAGTCCAAAATCTCATCTGACACAAGGCAGGTCTCTTCCATGAGCCTGTAAAATAAAAAACTAGTTACTTCTGAGATACAATGTGGGGATAGGGTTTGGGTAAATGCTCCCATTCCAAAAGTAAGAAATTGGCCAAAACAAAGGGGCTATAGGCCCCATGCAAGTCCAAAACCCAGCAGGGCAGTCATTAAATTTTAAAGCTCCAAAATAATCTCCTTTGACTCCATGTCTAACATCTAGACCACACTGACACAAGGGGTAGACTCCCAAGGCCTTGGCAGCTCTACCCTGTGGCTCTGCATGGTACAGCCCCTGCAGCTGCTTTCAGCGACTGGCATTGAGTGCCTGTGGCTTTTCCAGGTGCATGGTGCAAACTGTCTGGATCTACAATTCTGAGCTCTGGAGGACAGTGGCCCTCTTACCACAGCTCTCTACCAGGCAGTGCCCCAGTGGAGACTGTTGTGTGGGAACTCTAACTCCACATTTCTCTTCTGCACTGCCATAGTAGAGGTTCTCCATGAGGGTTCCACCCCTGCAGTGGACTTCTATCTGGACGTCCAAACATTTCCATACATCCTCTGAAATCTAGGCAGAGGTTTCCAAACCTCAGCTCTTGCCTTCTGCATACCCACAGGCTCAGTACCACATGAAAGCTGCCAAGACATGGGGCTTTCACCCTCTGAATTAATAGCCTGAGCTGTCTCTTGGCCCCTTTTAGCCACAACTGGAGCCAGAGCAGCTGGGACACAGGGCCCCATGTCTCAAGGCTGCACAGAGCGGCGAGGCCCTGGGCCTGACCCATGAAACCATTTTTCCCTCCTAGGCTTCCAGGCCTGTGATAGGAAGGGCTCTGTGAAGGTCTCTGAAATGACCTGGAGGCATTTTCCCCATTGTCTGTGCATTAACATTTGGCTTTTTTAAATTTATGCAAATTTCTGAAGCCTAGAATTCCTCCTCAGAAAATTAGTTTTTCTTTTTAACCTCTTGGTCAGGCTCCACATTTTCCAAACTTTTGTGTCTGCTTCTCTTTTAAATATAAATTCCTGCTTCAGGTCATTTCTTTCTTTATGCAAATGAGCACAGGTTTTTAGAAGCATCTAGGCCACATCTGAACACTTTGCTGCTTAGACGTTTCTTCCACCAGATACCCTAAATCATCTCTCTCAAGTTCAGTGCTCCACGTATCTCTAGAGCAGGGGCACAATGCCACCAGTCTCTGCTAAAGCATAGCAAGAGCGGCCTTTACTCCAGTTCCCAATAAGTTCTTCATCTCCATCTGAGACCTTGTCAGCTTGGCCATCTCTGTTCATATCAGTATCTGCATTTTGGTCATAACCGTTTAACAAGTCTTTATGGAGTTCCAAACTTTGCTGTCTTCTTCTGAGCCCTTCAAACTGTTCCAACTTTTGCCTGTTACTCAGTTCTAAAGTCACTTGCACATTTTCAGGTATCTTTATAGCAATGTCCCACTTCTCTGGTACCAATTTTCATATTAGTCCGTTCTCACACTGCTCTAAAGAACTACCTGAAGCTGGACGCTGTGGCTCATGCCTGTAATCCCAGCACTTTGGGAGGCCAAGGTAGGCAGATTACCTGAGATCAGGAGTTTGAGACTAGCCTGGCCAACATGGTGAAACGCTGTCTGTACTAAAAATAAAAAAATCGGCCGGGTGTGGTGGCACATGCCTGTAGTCCCAGCTACTCAGGAGGCTGAGGCAGGAGAACCGCTTGAACCTGGGAGGCGGCGGCTACAGTGAGCCAAGGTCACACCGCTGCACTCCATCCTGGGCAACAGAGTGGAGACTGGGTAATTTATGAGAAAATAGGTTTAACTGACTCACAGTTCAACTGGCTATACAGGAGGCATAGCTGGGGAGACCTCAGGAAATTTATATTCATGGTGAAAGGTGAAGGGGAAGCGGGCATGGACTTCACATGGCCAGAGCAGGAGAGAGAGAGAGAGAGAGAGAGTGCAAAGGAGGACGTGCTACACACTTTCAAACAATCAAATCTTGCAAGAACTCCATCACGAGGACAGCAAGGGGATGTCTGTCTCTGTGATTCATCTCCCACCACGCCCCTCCTTCAACACGTGGAAATTACAATTCAACATGAGATTTGGGTGGGGACACAGTGGCAAACCATATGAGTCTTCATAAATTTGTTTTAAAAGGATAGCTGAGAAGCCAATAATGATGCAATGGAATTGCCAAGAACTATCGAGAAAGACAGCTGGAAAAGAGGACAAAGCCAGGCGAGGTGGCTCACGCCTGTAATCCCAGCACTTTGGGAGGCCGAGGCAGGCGGATCATGAGGTCAGGAGATTGAGACCATCCTGGCTAACACAGTGAAACCCTGTCTCTACTAAAAGTACAAAAAATTAGCCGGGCGTGGTGGTGGGCGCCTGTAGTCCCAGCTACTCGGGAGGCTGAGGCAGGGGAATGGCATGAACCAGGGAGGTGGAGCTTGCAGTGAGCTGAGATCACGCCACTTCACTCCAGCCTGGGTGACAGAGCAAGACTCTGTCTCAAAAACAAAAAGAAAAAAAAAAAAAGGACAGAGACAAAGAACAAATAGGGCAAACGAAAGGAAATAATAGAATGGTATATTTAAACTCAGCAATATCGAGAATAATTTAAATGTGGATGGTCCAAATAGACCCAATAAAAAGTAGAAAGTGTCAGATTGGCAAATAAGAACCAACTATATGTTGATTATAAGAAACTTGCTTTGAATATAAGGGCATAGGTAGGTTAATATTTAAAGGATGGAAATATATACCATGCTAACACTAGTAAAAAGAAAACTGGAGTTGTTACATTGATATCAGAGAAAGTATATTTTAGAATAAAGAATATTGCCAAAGGTAAAAAGAAATCTTTTTAATGATAAAGGTGTCAGTATCAAGATATAACTGTGTATGAAACTCATAACAAAGCTTCAAAATACACAAAGCAAAAACTGATAGAAATGAAATGAGAAATAGATAATTACAGTTAGATATGTTAGTATCCTCTCTCAGAAATTAATATAACAAGTAGACAAAAAATCAATAAGAAAGTAGATTTCAATAACGTTGACAAATTTGAATTGAGTTTTATGAGACCATTGTATCCAACAAACACAGAATACTCATTGTTTTCTAGTGCATATGGAATATTCACCAAGACAGACATCATTCTGGGCCGTAATACAAGTCTACATAGCTTCATTTTATATATAAAAATTAAATAAAACTTTTAAATATAAAAGAAATGTTTTTAATAATACAAAATGTTTTCTTAGGCCACAGCAGAGTCAAATTAGAAATAGTTAACCAAAAGTTATCTGCAGTGTCACCAAATATTTGGAAATTCAATAAGACCCTAGATCAATATATTGAAGAAGAAAACACAAAAGAAATTATAACATATTTTGAACTCACTAAAAATGAAATTATAGCATATCAGAAT